CTTCCACTAATTAATCCAGTCTTAACTTTGTAGAAATTGTACTGTAAATGAACAATAAACATGTCTTGTTTTCAGTGTTTAACTAGAACTGTAAGAGAAAGAACAGCAAACATCTCCCAGCTAGTGCAGACATTGTGACTTCCAGATTACAGTACGTTGCTTTGCTTCCTCCAAATCCTGTTTACACGAGCAAGGTCAGGGGATGGAACATTAGAGAGCCTCTACAGTGATTTCCTGCTGCTGTCAGTAGAAACTACAGAGACATCATCAACTTTTCCTTGTTCCCAAGAGCTTATCAGGGACTGGAGGTTACCGACGTATTGCCTTACAGACGTGAAAAAAAACCCAAAACTTTTATAAATAAAGTACAATCAGAAGATGAAACAGGAGAAAATAGTCCTCAAGGGAAAGAAGACCTCCAGTTTTCCTTTTCAATAGTTCAGAAAACAAAGGCAATATTAAGCTGCTTGACACACGGGGAGGGGAGAAAGGCAGTAACGCTTTCAGAGTTTTCAGTGAGATAAAAAAGGTGAACCACCACCTCCAGCCCCCAAACCTTGACCCCAATTTCAGTGAACATTTTCAGAGTGTAAAAGGCTAGAACATACCTCGTTTTTAAGAAGTGCCACATAAGAAGGCTATTGGAAAAGACAGGGCATTATGCAAATACCAGTTAGCTAAGCACATCTAGCTTGTTTTTATACTGGTTTCAGTAACACGCAGGAGAATGAAATAAATCAATCAAATTCAAAGCTATTTTCCTGACAATAATAACACACATTCAGGAATTTTTGATGTTTTTGTAATTATAGTTCAAAAGAAAGAAGCTCCATACTGAAGATTACACTGAAGTTTTTCCACTGACACAATGACCACATTCCCTTCACTAAATTTACAAGGGAAGTTGCATCACTCTGAATCTTAGGTGTAACCAGATTTTTTACTGTGTTCAAAAAGAACTGGACTTACAGCTTTAAGTCGGAACACAAACTGAAAACATAAGTCGTTCAGAGAGTTTAATAATTTAAGTGTTTTTCCAGCAAAATCCCCATGAGAACATTCATACCTATATATCTTGGCTTATTCTTTGAAGGAAAAAAAAAAGTAAATTTAAAACCCCACATAAGCAGGCATTTTAGATGTGGAAGTTATGGATTGTTGGCTTTGATGAAGCAACAAATTAAAATTCCTTGAAAAGAAGAGGAGGAGTGGGAGGAGGAGATAATACTTCCTCATATAGAAAAGCTCAAAATATAAATGAATTACTAAGAAAATATCTAAATATATATTTTAAATTCACAATACAGAATCATGAACGTTAAATTTTTAAATATTTGGTTTTCAAATCTTCTCCAGGCAGACTGTCGTCACAAGAGATACAGTTGGTTGTCCTGTTTGGGCTTGTCAATACAAGACACTGAGAACATGGAGCAAGTCCAGCAGAGGGTGAACAAGATAGTGAGGGGTCTAGAACATATGAGATACAAGAAAAAGCAGAAAACCATGTTTGTTCAGCCTTAAGAAGGAAGGACACAGCAAAGTCTTACTGACATCTCAAATATCTAATGGTGGATAGAGAGAAGACAGGGCCAGACCCTTATTACAGAATCACTGTGATAGAATTAGAGGCAACAGACATATTGGAACATAGGAAGTTCTAGGTACATACTACAAAAAAGATATTTTCACTAGCTAAATAGTAAAACAAGCTGCCCAGAGAGGTGGTGGAATCTCCATCCTTAAACATATGAGACAAATGAACTGGATGAAGCCTTTAGGAACTTGATCCAAATTGGCCTTGCTTACAGAGAAGTTTAGATGAAATGACTCCAGACATTGCTCTCAACCTATACTATTATCATTTTTGTTAACAAATCTTTACAGAAGGGGAGAAAAGAAATCCTTTCTGCTCTGTCACAGGTCATCTTAGGGGCAGTAACAGCATATTTCCTATGGCCAGCAGGACAGGACACATTCCCAATAGCTGAAGAAGAGATTCTCAATAGGGAAATCACTTTCTCCTATTTCTTGGAGTACCTTGAGATCTATAGGATTCTGCTCATTTACGATTTGGAATTTTCATAGCCATTCAACAAAACATACAAGGTTTTGTATAGACTTCCAATCTCCCTGAAGATATTTCAGTAAACTTTAGGGAAATCAAAGATCCTATAAAAGCTTCAGTTTTGTTCCTTGCCCCAGAGAAGATGGTCTTTAAATACTTGAAGCATTGATCTGAGAAAGGCTGTATCTCTTTTTTTCAGTGGAAAATTTAACCTGAAGATATTTCAGTAAACTTTAGGGAAATCAAAGATCCTATAAAAGCTTCAGTTTTGTTCCTTGCCCCAGAGAAGATGGTCTTTAAACACAGCCTTTCTCAGATCAATGCTTCAAGTATCTCTTTTTTTCAGTGGAAAATTTAAAATAAATATGTTGATTAGCTACTTGCAGTGGTCCAGAGACTTGCCAAGTTGTTTTGTAACTAATCCTTAGGGCCCTGGCGTGTTACATGCATGATAAAGACACTGAACAAGAACCTTTAAAGATAGGTAGGTGCAGAGCTCATTTTTATCTCTACTTATATCAGAAGGGCGGAAGAACTGCTTAAGATAGAGCAAAACACTTCACAAAGACGAAGCAGGTATTTGTAAATTAACTTGGTAACTCGATCAAAGATTTTTAGTCATTTGAACAGCACTCTTCCAGTAGAAGTAGGACCAGAAAACCATAAGCAGCTTTAACATAGCTCTTGACAAGTTTGCAGAACAAAAACAAACAACCCCACCCAAAAAAAAAAAAAGTATAGTGATATTTCTTTGATAACCAGTAGAAAAAGAGCAACCCAGGGGGACTGGAATCAGGGAGAGATGGTGGAAGAGGATGAATTAGATTAGAGATTGGTAACCTCAAGTTAGAGGAGGATTTAAAAAAAAAAAAAAATAGAAAAAAATACACCCAAAGAAAAAAATGCAGAAACAGTATCATTCAAGTGAGGACAAACAATAAACAATAAAAAGGGGAAATCTGAAATTGAAGGTGAGATGGAAAACAAATCCAGAATGTGTCCTCCTGCCTTTGATTTTTAGGAAGAACACACAAAGCCCCTATAGACAGGGCATCTGTACATTAGGGAAACTGAGCCAGCTTCAGATGAAACGGTCCAAGTCACCGAGATCCAGAACCCTTTGGAAACAAGACAAAGAGACTGGATAGCTGGCTTGATTAAGAAACAGGTGATTATTCCACAAGCAATAAAAGCTGGTAATGCAGCAGACACTGGACAGAATGGTGACACTAAAATATAAGCTGACATTAGAAAAGGGAGGACCAAGTAGGTTGGCAAACTTGGGGAAAGTGTTACTTACAATGGGGGAGGAATGATACCAGCAGCAGAGGAAACTTCTGAAAGGGATCTGGATTGGTGTCAGTAGTGGTGTGTTGGACAGAGCAGTTGTCCTTAAGGCTGCAGTCCAAGTAACAAGAATATGGACGTGTTGGTACATGGAAAAAAGATGCAGCTGGTGAATGTTCAGATGCAGAAAGATGAGAATCAGTGGTGAACAGGAGAACAAGACAATTGGAAAACAAATGTAGTGATTACCACAGTCAAAGGCATGAATTTTAAAGCAACACTTCTGCAATGAAGACAACTGCAAAGCCAGCCAGCAATCAAAAGGATGCTGTCTCTAGCTGGTCAACTTATTCTTACTATGAGTTCTGGGCATAATATTTTCTAAATTGGTCTCCTATTAACGAAGGAGATTGAGACTGGCAGATTTATAGGCACCTAACAAAGAAATACAGTATAATAATACATTTGAATTCTGTGATCAGTACTAACATCAGAAAATAAGGAATATAGTATTTTCAAGTGATAAGTAGTAGATTTTGGTGGATATAATTTATTGGCTGTTAAGCTTACTAAAAAGATATCTGTAAATCTGCAAATTACTTCTGACAGAAGTTATCTTTAGGAACCCTATTTCCATTGTGAAAATACAACATGGCAACTGCTAAACATTAAAATATATCTGAGATGATCAATTCATAAGTTAGTATATGATATATATTTGTTTTGAAGACAAGGTTGCTCTTCGACAGCAACTTCTGCATCATGATCTTCAATAAATGACCTTAAAGAATTTTATAATACCGTACCTTCACAGCATACCTTTTCATAAAGCATTCACAGAACAGCAGAAGCCACACCTGCTGTCTATTCATACGTATTAACCCTTCAGCCACACCAATTCTTGTTATGCCAGCTAGAATTGCTCAAGATACAATTTATGCCTTCACAGGAAGATTCAGAGCTAAAAGAGAAATTTTCATTTTAACCTAATTCTAGAACAGTACGTCTTTTAGATTTCATACCAGAAGAGCATATTTCTCCTCCCACGAAACTACCATTAAAACATTGCCTTCCTTTCCTCCCACATGCCATACCAATGTCATCTGAAAAACTAACACTAGAAGGATCTAATCCTATGATTCTGTCTTAAGATGTGGGGGTTTTGTGGGTTTGTTGTTTTGTTGTGTTTTTTTTTCTCTTAGACAATTACTACATGCCTTAAAAGGAAAAAAATAGAAAATTCCAAAAGTGGTGTTTTAATGAGGCAACTATTCTTTATGTTTCCTATTATTTGCAGATAAAGACAGAGTTACAAAGAATGTTTGAGAAAAAGCAACAAATTTTAACAGTAATATTTAAATATAATTAACATGGGCTTATAATTAGAATTTCTGCTTAGTACATGGATAAAATTACTAGTATAATGTGGAAGCTTTGCTATTACACCATCTTCTGGTTAGCCTTGGGAACTGTGAAAGAAAGCTGAAATTGAGAACTTGGGATATCAAGCTCTGAGCAGTCAACAGTTGTTAAAAAATATATTTCATTCACAAAGACAGAAAAAGCACATTTCCAATAACACGCTATTTTAAACTATAACTTACCTGTTTTCTTTTTCCCCACCTCTCTCCCTCAGAAGGCAACTTACCGAGGTATTAATGGATGAAGAGGAGTTAATCTCTATGACAGGTGGGTCAAGTGTTTGCATATTAGTCACATCAAAGGTAGGGTTGACCTATTGAAAGTGAGTTATAATATTATTTCAGTACCAGTACAAAAAAGGGAATAAGACTGAAATAGAAAAGTCCACTTACTACATTAATGCAGTACAAACTGGAAGCAGGCTTTAATATTTGTAAAGATAAAGGCAGGACATTACTATTCAACCATGTAAAAGCAATCATATGATACAGAAAGTGAATCCAGATAAACAATTATTACAGAAACATAACTTATACTTCATAGACATTCATCATCCAAAACTAACTCGAGGATTCCTACCATAGGAGGTGCAAGTATTAAGTTCAGTTTTATAACAAAATCAACAAAAATTAAGTTACAGTTACTAGTCTGAAATGGATTTACTGAGACAGCTAACTCGAAACCTGTCCAAAGACACAATTAACAGTGGGAAGTATTCAAACAACTTCTCACCTCTTTAATAGTCACTTGTAGGTGCTTTTGAAAGTTTTCACACGTGCACAACATCTACAAGGGCTCCTGAAAGTCACCTTTGAGTTATACTTTCCAGCATCAATCACTTGTTGTCTTTCCTGTTCCTCCTTCCACCAGCAGAACTGTCTCTGGCAGAAGTGGTGCCTTGCCCTGGATAACTCTGGACTTGAGACCTGCCTTCTGGCAATGATGCTCAGTAAGCTTGTTACAGCCCAAGGACAGCAGGAGACGCACACTTGTGGAGGTCTCCATATATAACTATGCAGCACTCTTTTTTTGTTACACTGTTCTCTGCCTTTTGTAGTTTACTACACATACTCACAGTCTCATACCACAGCTTCTAAGTCTCACTACCGTTCACCTTGAGCTAAGATCAACATGGCTGCAGCACTTTGGCTCAGCAGTGCCTAGGAAGGTGTGTGCCAAGCTAGTCCCTAAGCACGAGCTGCTTTACTGACGTGGGTAGATCATGAGCACAAAGCTGATCGTGAGCACACCCTCAGCAGCCCAGATCAATCAGTTCCCAACTCACGCTCAAGTCATCCATCACAAGCGAACAGACAGACTGTTGACAGGCTTGCTTCTTACGTGCCATCTCTGATTGTCAAAATAAATTGAAAAACGTTGTGGAAAGCAGGTAGGATGTAACAGTGAAGTCTGTGATGAAAGACAACTGGCCAAACACAAACCATGCTGTTCTCAAAACCATGGGAAAAAATGCTTTATACTGGGATAATGCCAGAGGCTGACTGATCAGATTGTCATCACAGCATCTGATTCCGACACCTTGTATCACAGTCGGACCACTCACTTAGTGTTGGTTATAGGAGTTAAACTATTTTACTAGTGCCCTTTCCTGAAGGTCAAGCATTAACAAAATCTAAGAGGATATGAAGTTTGAGACAGCTATTACTTTATCTTTTGGTTTCATCTAAAGATCAGAATATCTTCCCTATAAAAATCTGTGTGTATATTTTCCCTACTATTGTGCTGTCTAAGTGTATCACAGCCTAGTACATTTGCCCTCTCAGTGTGATGTATGGAATTTCAAGACCTAACAAAATTCACAGAAAGACTAGATGACTTTCAAATCACCAAGAAGTCTGGTGTAGTAAAGAGAAACAAACTTTTCTCTTTTGAGCTTTTTTTCCATAATCTAGCAGTGACCTTATCAGAGTCAGCATTAATTCCAACAATCTTACTTGAAAGGGGGCAGGGAGGGAGGGAAACAACACACACACAGACAGACACAGACACACACACACACACACACACACAGACACACACAGACACACACAGACACACACAGACACACACAGACACACACAGACACACACACACACACACACACAGACACACACACACACACACACACACACACACACACACACACACAGACACACACACACACACAGACACACACACACAGACACACACACACAGACACACACACACAGGCACACACACACACACAGACACACAGACACACAGACACACAGACACACAGACACACAGACACACAGACACACAGACACACAGACACACAGACACACACTTGCCTAGTGACGGGGCTATATTTTAGTTGTTAAAAGTTTGTAGAAATTAGGATCAAGTCTTGCTTTCTTCCAATTTTGTCAACAGAACTTAGAGGAAAGAAAGGGAAAAAGGAAAACCAAAGTCAACTAAGACAGTCTAAGTAATAATTTTCCATTTATCGGAATGTTCTAACATTTTAATTTGACTTGTCTGTCAGTTTCTTCTCCAAAGAAACATGATCAATGAAAGTCTCCTCTGCAGATAGCACTGCTTACCTCTTTTATCAGGTGAGGAAGAGAATAATTCCAAGTTTTACTTTTTTTCCCCCTCTCTGTATGTAACCTATCTATGGAGGTTAAACAGGAAAATGTTCTAAAGAGGTGACATTTGTTTAGTGCCCAGCATAACCAGGGTCATTTGCTTCTGACTTTCAGTCAGTTCTGTAACAAATATAATTAACATGTTATCCAAATGTTAATCATCCTAAGGGCAGCTAAGCTAAGGTCTTTTTCTGACATGCATCATTTGGGCACTGAAAAGAAGAGAGGACAAGGCACCTGGAGGACTCTGCAGAAGAGGGACAGCAGGTGCCTATCACCTGTCAGGAGTCTAATGCAGATGGGCTACTCCCGTATTATTATTAATAGCTCTTGGAGGAACTTTTGAGATAGTATCTCATGGTCATGTAAGTCAGAGATGTTGTAGAACGAGTTACACGCTTTTCTTAATCTGGGGTGGCTAAAGAAATACACGTCATGATAAAGTTAAGAAAAAAGTACTCTCTATGTGCAAGTGTCACATCTCAGGGCCAGAATGAAAGCTTCCTCTGCACAGTTCTGGGCACTGCTTTATCAGACATAAGGGGAGGATGAGGAGCATTGTAAACACAGACTAGGGGTGCAGGAATTGTCATAGCCCATGTTAAAAAACATATATAGATATATATACAGCTATATAAAATTGTTAAATCACAAGTCAGCAATAGCAAAGTGTCTAAAGAAAAGGGCACAAAATCATGTAGGGTAAATGTTTCTCGCAAATATTCATGTTTAGTATTCCACTACAAATTAATGAGTTAGTGGAATGGAGCTAAGTGTAAAAGTTTCAAATGACTTGACATTTCCTGACACAGTGATGTAGTCAGCTTGTCAAACAATCTCAAACCTACTTGGAAAAACTTTCTTTCTTGTTTTTTAAAGTTAAGTAAAAGCAGAGCACTAAAAAGCAGGGTAGAGAGAACTGTTATGTATTAAAGATTTTCCAGAAATACTCTTTCCAAGCTTTCCTTTAGTTACCTGGCAAACTGATACGCAAGTATGTTCATTATCTTTCTCTAATACAACGATAGAATTATCACATTTTCATCCATAGCACAAGAAAATATATCTGAAGGAAGGTTTCTGCAGAATCTTTCACATAAGAAATTACAGACTTCTAAAGAAAACAAAATAATTTAAAGAAAGTGAGAGGCAGGAATGAGAATCTCTGCTTAGGACAGAGAACTAGGGGAGGAAGAAAAGAAGCAGGCCCAACTAAGTATGTGATTCTCAAACACGTATTTTAAATGAATATGTTCCTACAGCTATCCCTCTATTAATTTTAATAAAGTATATTCACTCTCAAAAAACCCCACTCTTCACTTTATTTTTATAACAAATTTCACAATACATTTGTGTTATATCAAAACTCCCTCAAAATTAATAAAATTAAAAGAGGAAGTTTTAAATTACTCCCACAAAGTATTTCCTAGGGAAAGTGATGTAGCTAGGTGTGAAATAGTCTCTCCAAACCTACTAAGAAAAATTCAGCTTTCAATTTGACTAAACACAGGTCTTTGTACTAGATTGGAGGCCTCAAGCCACATATTCTTATTTCTACTGCCACCTAGTGTAAATTGGGATTTCCTTCATCTAAGATACGCCTGAAGTTACACTGAAAGTTGGAACTAAATCGGTAATAGATTTTCATGCTCCAGAAAAACTTTATACATTTTAATATGTCCAAATCTCAATGCTATGTTTTTAAAGGAAACATGTATTTCTGTCTTTCATATATAGAGACCTTTTCAAAGCACATGAAAGATGATGTGCAAACACAGGAATTTCAAAAATATATCTGTCTTTAAGTGAAATGCATTTCTTTTAGTATATTTTACTAAAACCATATTAGTGATTAAACATACTATTTTCAAATATTTCCAAAAGCTCCTTATTTCAAAGAGAGACAATGACTGGGATTTATCTCAGCTAAATTTAGACACACCACTAGACACCTCTATTTGACCTGGTCACCCAAGATTACCTCTGTGATCAACGGAAAAAAGGAGGCACCTCAAGAACAAGTCATTTGCTTACATTTCCTAATTGTCTGAATAGCTGTAATGAATATAAACTTTAAGGCTCTATTTACTTGAATATTCAAGAATCACATTGATCACCACAGTTCAAGAACAGTTGAATTTTGTGTTCTTGACTTATAAATCCTTGCAACACTGCATTAGAATTCAGACTACTACTCATCTGAAGATGAGGAGATATAAGTAAGGAATATTTTCTTAAAACTATGCTTCAAAAAATAGGCAAGGAGAGAGAAAAAGCAGAGAAAACAGTAGGGGAGGTATCTTAGATATTACTGGCTCAAAGAGTGAATAAGGAAAAGTTCTGAAAAAAGGTGAAAGTACACTCAAATTCCATTTCATCACTATTCTGAAAGCAAAATACCAGGTGATACGTGCAAACTGTTTTGCTCAGAACATTTCCAACTGGTGGTGTGTGAAAACACTACAACCGTCTCTCTGAACTCAGCTGAAGAAATTCTGAGCAAAGCCAGCTCCATTTCGTGTGCACTATTTTCCCAGAACCAGGCTCTGGAACAGCAGGGACCTTGCCACATTGAGGCAAGCAGCAATTGAGAAGCAACAGCTACCTAAAAGCAATAAGAAAACTGGAGAGGCATGAGACATTAGAAATTCAAAAAAGCCTGAACAGAATTACTTCCCTCTTGAGTTCTATCTGTACCTCTCAATTTTGTGTTCTACGACTTTGGACTTCATCTTAAGGCAATCCACCTTCATTTCTGCTATAGAAGGCACTAAACTTAAGCAGCTCAGCAAAACTTGGGGCAACATATTATAACACATCTCAGGTGTCTAGATGACATTGCACTGGCTTGTAGCAAACCTTAAAAGGTCACCTATACTTTTAAATATCCTGTATTTGAACCACCTCCTCTTGCATACGTTACCATGTCTCCTGAAATACTGCTACGTGCATTTAGTTAAGATCAATCACCTTTCCCTGTTCCTCATGAAAAAGAAAAACAGAAAGAAGCAGTTCTGCGTTTTGTCTGAGGTGCAGGTGAGATACTAGAAAATCTGTGCCATTACAGTTGCTTTGCAGCAGTGGAATAGAGAGACTGATGAAACTCCATCCCTCTCCAAGGCCCCCTAAGACACAGCCATGGCTGACTTGATGTACCACTGGGAACTGACCAGATGACCTCCAGAAGCTCCCTCAGATATGTCTTTGGCTCAGCGCCTCCTTTCCCTGGCATACTAGAAATATGACGAGTGAGAGAAAGATGAAGGCGGTGTTGCAGTGGAAATGCCTAGTGCTGAAATTGTTCGTATTACTGTTACTTAAAAAGAAGTTGGGACGTTATTAAAAAAAATATATATTTTTTTTTCTTTTTCTTCTCCAGAGTACAGCACAGCATAGTGGGGCTAGACATGCTGCTTTTTTCCAGTTACAGGAAGAAATATTTGAGAAGATGGAACACTGAAAAATTTCAAACATGGTGCCACTAAAGCATGTTAGTGCAGGTAGTAACCTGATACTAGCTTTGTCTAGATAAACTGTGGTTTTATCCAGATAATGAGGTCTTTTCTTCCTTGACATAACAACAACAACAAAAAAAAATTGTTCTTGAGATAGACAGGAGGGACACTGAAAGAAAAGAAGAGCAAGAAATCTTGATAACTTCACTTTAAGACTCTAAATTACTACATTATTACATTAATTCTGAAAATAAGCTGCAAATATAAAAATATTGTACCTTACTGTAATATCAGTTTTCTTAAACCTTTCAGACTCTGTTCTGTCTCGAAGAATAGACTCCATGTTTATTTGAGAGCACGATATTCTACAGATAATGTGATGTTAACAGAAAACTAACCATCAACATTATTCTCTAAAATTCTTAAGTCATGTCAAAAATATACCACAAGAGTCCAAAACTTTGCTGTGGCATATGAAAGAGCAACCCAGAAGCCTACAAGCTGCTACAAATGTCACAGACATGAAGAAATGCAGACGTGAGGTTAAGGGAAATCTGTCAAAGGTAACTGATAAATAATTTCTTGACATTCAACTATCAAACTTCCTTTATGTGCCTTTTCAGTATTGGTAACGAGGTGCTTCTTGGTCTCAGTTTAATTTTAGCATGAACTCAATGTTTTTCCAGAACTTCTCAACTACCTGGGACCAGGGACAACCACCACCAAAAAAATCCACCACCACTAAAAAAACAAACAAAAAAAATCAAGAACACAAACCACAAACTAGCTTTAGAGAATAAGCACCTGAGCAGCAGAGGTCTGGAAAAGCTGACCTGAAAAGAACGCAGCTGAACCCTAAAGCTATAAGCTACTCTGTGTGTTCAGCATGTGTTATGTCTGGGTGCAATTTGAACGGGTCTTGAAGCAAACTGTTTATGTGACAAGAGTTGTTTAAAACTGCTGGCAGATGTTAAGACTGAATTTGTTCCAGTAGTGACCACTTTTACTGAAGACTGCTGCCAGTAAACAGCTTCACTCATTGACCTTACAATGAATACGACAGCCTAGCAGAGAAGTTTATGAAGCTTGTCATACTTGAAGTTGCCCTGCTCTTGTTCTGACCAAAATGCCAAGTACCAAAAACCTTCACATCCAACTTGACGACAGAACCAGACACAAGACAATACTTAGTGGTGGATTCTATCAGGGTTCCCCCTCTTCAACCAAGCTATTTTCAATCTCTATATTGCTCACACTGCATATACACAGGCACACACACCCTAACCCCTCAATATCCTCACATCTCAATGTTTTAAAAATCTGAGGAGACACAAAAGCCATCACAGCAGCATCTGCATTTTATATGAACAACAACAAGTTAATTTCTACAGGATTCTATTAGCATGTAACAGCAATCAAAACCTTACTGGATTCACATCGCATATGGCTCTTGGACACTAGATGTATCTAGAGAATATCAAAGAAGAGATAAAAGTACAGGTAATCACCCTGCGGAAACCAGCCAGCTATACCAAGTCCAGTCATAAACATACTCTTGGGATTTTTAGTCTTGTCTAAGGCATAGTACTGTTTACCTATTTAGCATAGCTTTCAGACAACCTGATGAACACAGGATTTTCCAAATCCTGGTAGGATATTTGACATCTCGTTGTGAAAAGAATTCACCAGGACAAATCTGAGAGCATCAGGCAGCCTAGTAACCTTACTATGGATTCATAAGGTATGGTCACTTCCAAAGTATCATACATAACAAAACGCTCTCTGGTATACATAGAACACATTTAGCTACAATCATTAGACAGCGTTGACAAAGGATTCTGGTTTCTTATATTAGAGTACTTAGAGCACTCACCTCAACTGACTGAATTTTTTCATTATGGCGATGAGGTGACCTCGGGTAAATATCAAGAAGATGAGGAGGATCATCAATATGTGTTCTTCTAACATGGTGTTTAAGAACTTCTTTATAATCAAACGAATCAAAGTTGGTTTTCCACAGAAATACCTGTAAGAAGCCATTGTATCAGTAAGTCTCTGAAGCATATTCAGTGCCCAAAACATAACTATTCAGTGAAGTCTTAAATACTAATAGATTAGAACATCAGAATGAGCCTGCTGACATCATGTAGTCTGATCTCTACTACAACACAGGCACTTCCCCAGAGTATCTTGTACTTCAAGTCTAACATGTGATTGAATCTATTAAAAAAAAAAAGAGAGATATGATCTCTAAAAGATGTCAATGACCATAAAACAAAGCAAACTTCGGCCTCACTGGACTGCATTGTAAGATTTTTCTGCCATATCAAGGGGTCAAATACTATAAAATTTATATCCCCTATAAAGGCTTGCAGGTCAAACAAGAAAGTTTAAGGGGATAAGTGACAGAGATCCACAGAACTGTAAAGCACCAAACCCCAGTGTTTGAGCAACAGTAACCCTGTCCAGTTACATTCAAGGCAGAAGCAATATACAATAGTCACACCATGACCAAATGCAGAAGTAAGGTAGTTAGAATGCAGAGATAAGACAGCAGAAGGTAGTGTATCCAGCCTTATGAATAAATCAGGAAACCAAATTATGACGCACAATACCGCTCTCTTGCGTCTCAAAACACCTGCATATGCAAGTAAATTAAGTACACCAGAAGTTTACATGTCATCTTTGTTACTTTAAGTGTTAAGGGAAAAAAGAAAATAAAGGAAGTTCACAACACTAAGATGTCCACTATTAATTTTTATAGCTGCTCCCTAAATCAGAGGAAACAGAGACGAAACCATGATCTGACTTAAAATTACGTGCCCATCCAACCACAAATATTTTGACAATCATTAGAAGTATTTTTCAGAAATTAGTCTCCATCATCCAATCCAGCATAAAGTTATTCATTTTTTTTATCTGGCTTTTCTCCATTTTTTTTCAGGCTAATTTTCTGCTATTTTCGCAATTCAAACTGACTCAGCACTGAGTAAACAAAAGTATAGGTAGGAGGCAGTAAAAACAGGACTTTTCTTCAGTGGTGAGCATTCCAGCCAGTTTTCCCAATATTACAACGTAAAGTCACTGTGTAATTGCAAACGTTAAGAGAAATGAAAACTTAATGGAGTATGTAAGCATTAATACTAGTTGCAACACAACTACTTTGTTGACATTGAATTGCAACACTTCAGACACTACTATTTTAAAATTATGCCTTTATTTTAGCATGTAAACCAGGAGTGGCTAGTGTTGGGGTCTCATCATCATAACATCCAACCGCAAGAAGTTAAAATCAAGTTTAAGTGATGCATTTATCATTTTTTTCTCCTCAAATTTAACTTTAGGCTAATCAAAGACTATATAATACAGTACTAGATTGAATTAATGTCAACATACTCTAATTAGCATATTTCTATGACATCCTATGTTTAACTCCCATCTACTGTAACAAAGACATTTAAATTAAAGAGACAATACCACAAACCTGAGCATCCGCTCCACCTGAGGCAAATTTTTCACCACCTTTTGAAAAAGCCACATAAAGTACAGGTCCCTGAAGGAAAAAAATATTTGCATACAATAAAAATACACTGTTACTCTAATTATGGTATTTTTATGCAAAGAGAAAACACTTATGCCATTATCTAATATTAATAGATGTTTCAGTTTTATTAAAATAAGAAATAATTTAACTTCCGTGAAATTTTTGCAAAACACCTTGATTGAAGAGTTAATATTGCGCAGTTAAGATGCTGCATTATAATTACTACAATCAATACTAGGAAAATAGTGGCATTTTCCTTAGATTTTGTGCTTTAACTCCACAGCGAAGAACGGGTGGTAAAACACTGGAACAAGTTGCCCAGAGAGATGGTGGAGACCCCACCCCTGGAAGTATTCAAGGTGAGGTTTGACAGGGCTCTAAGCAACCTGATCTAGTTGAGGATGTCCTTGATTATGCAGGAGGGTTGGACTAGATGATATCTAAAAGCCCCTTCCAACCAAGCGCATTCTATGATAAATTATCAAATATATATTACATTACACAAGACAATGGGTTTGAGTGATTCATTATCCAAAGTAGGGTTTGTTTCACATTAAGAGGAAAGGGAGAAAGTGTTTGCCATCCTTCACAGAAGTTATCATCCATAAGCTTCTCCCTCCTTAGAAAGTACTGTTTTTCAATAGACAAAAAGACTTAGGTGCCAAATAGTCAATTTTGACAATCAAATGACTGAATTATTAATTAATTCAGAACATTATCTATTACTTAGCACTAAACATGCATACAATACTGACAGATATTGACAGATTAACTGGATGGTCAAAGCTAAAATTGGTGCATTTCCTTATGCACTTGGGACAATGTGCATTAATGCAACACTTTGCTGTCCACTAAAATTTGTCTGCAAGATGCAGGATACAAGACAACAGCATAAACGATACCTTCTGTTTGAAAAGATATTGAATAATCTATTAAGTTATCCATTTAAATAGGATTATTGCATATACCTTGTGTCCATGAAGAGTGTAAATAAGTCTTCCTTCTAAGAGGTCCAAAATCTTAAGGGTACCATCAGCAGAAGCAGTGATGAGATAGTTACCAGAAGGATGGAATGATACACAGTTAACCCCTGCTCTGTGAACTAATTTACAGAAGACAATATTCAAAGACTGCGGATACCTAATAACAGCAAATGTACAGTTTATTTCTTCACTCTTTTCTACTTGCCACAGAACAATCTACTCGATTTAAGGGGCGGGCGGGGGCAGTGCTGGAACATAGCAGACTCTCTAAAGTATTTGCTTAGTTCTGTTTCAGAAAATTAAGAGAAGCACTGCAAAGGAATAAATCAGGATTCAGACTGGATTTTTAGGGTTGCTAGAGTACAAAAAGATTACTGAAAAAATGCCAATTTGACTTGTTTGTCCACTTTCCCCAGTAAGGGATGAAATCATACAATCTAAATAAACCACATTTTGTTGCCAAGAGCTCCATTCTAACGCAAATACAATAACCTACATTGTTTTTACCTTTGTAATGCTGCAGTAGCTTGTTCATTCGAATATCCCACAGTTTCACCGCACAATTGGAACCTGCAGAGGCTATACATGTACCACTTGGGTTGAAATCCACAAAATTTGCAAATCTAAATATAATTAATAAAATAGATTGATAACATGTTTCCATAGAAATATCTGCCTGGACACAGATACATATATAAACCACAATATTGACACTGAGTCACCACAAACTTGTACGGAAACTCAAATAAGGTATTCAAAATGACTGAAATAAGCATAGGAAAACAAGATGTGCATGGTAATTCAAACTGTATAATCTGGCTTTTGTTAAAAAGATAGTATAAATGTCCTGACCCAGACTTCACAGTTTGTGTTGGGATAGAAAGTTCCTAGAAAAAAAAGCACTGCAAAAAGTTTGTGGGCAGCAAGTAAAATAATTTTGCCTAAGAACATATATCTAGCTATAACAAACTTTTAGCTTGAAAAAGGGGATGGAGAAGGGAGCCATGAAATTAGCAAAGCACATATACAAGATTAATATTCCACTGCATTTGTTAATTAAAACACTGGTTCCAAGACGTTTAAGAAAACTGCAGATAAGTAAACTCAAGTATTTTCTACACCAAAATAAGGCAGGTCACTGGAGCTAAGAAAATACTGTTTTCATCAAGTGGAGAACTCTTAAACTTCTCTTCTTGTTAAGTATCCAATATCAAATAGCTTTATCGAAATGGAGGAAAAACATGAAAAGATTCCAAAATCCAAGAACAATCTGACCTTTCTCAGGTTTACTTCCTGACTGCTGAAAAACATCTGGATAGGTGCAGTCTCTTTAGAAGAGTGCAGAATAAATTATTTTACTTTACATGTGTGGCAGAAGTTAGATTAATTTTCACTTATAACATACATTGGATTCACGTTTTGTGGCATTAATGTCTATCTCATTAAAATTACACATTTACACAGAATCACAGAATGTCAGTGGTTGAAAGGGACCTCAAAAGATCATCTAGTCCAGCCCCCCTGCCAGAGCAGGAACACCTAGAGTAGATTGCACAAGTACTCATCCAGGTGGGTTTTGAATGTCTACAGAGAAGGAGACTCCACAACCTCCCTGGGCAGCCTGTGCCAGGGCTCTGTCACCCTCACAGTGAAAACACTTTTCCTAATATTTTTGTGGAACCTCCTATGTTCCAGCTTGTACCCATTACTCCTTGTCCTGTCATTGGACATCAGTGAAAAGAGCCTGGATCCATCCTCCTGACACTCCCCCTTGACATAAACATGAATGAGGTCACCCCTCAGGCTCCTCTTCTCCAAGCTAAAGAGACCCAGCTCCTTCAGCCTTTCCTCATAAGGGAGATGTTCCACTCCCTTCAAGATCTCTGTGGCTCTGCGCTGGACTCTCTCAAGCAGTTCCCTGTCTCTCTTGAGCTGAGGGGCCCAGAACTGGACACAATATTCCAGATGTGGCCTCACCAGGGCAGAGTAGAGGGGCAGGAGGACCTCTCTCCACCTACTAGCCACATCCCTTCTAATACACCCCAGGATGCCATTGGCCTTCTTGGCCACGAGGGCACATTGCTGGCTCATGGTCATGCTGCTGTCCACCAGGACTCCCAGGTCCCTTTCTCCTACACTGCCCTCCAGCAAGTTAGTCCCCAATCTATCCTGGGAAAAGTTTACATTTTTTTTTACGTTTACATTTCTCCTTTTTTTTTTTCTCTTCTCTAGTAACACTTACCCTTCAAATTCTAAGAAGCTATCAATACAAGTTTTATTTCTTGTATCCCAGATCTTAATGGATTTATCCTCACTGCAAGATGCTATTAGTCTGCCATCAGGTGAAAATCTGGAAGATACAAGTGCATGCATTACAAAACAACTGATACTACCTATATCAGCATTAGGGACATGAGCAGCAAAACATCAGAACAAAAACAGCCTGTTTGGAATTAAAATGTGTGACATTCAAAGGACATTTTCTTGTATTTCTTATGGAGTAATAAAATAAAAAAGTTTCTCTCCCCACTCCTTCTTCCATTTCACAATCAGCTACAATTAAAAACAGCCACAAGCAAGCGAAAGGGTCGGTGGAGGTAACAGCAGCCTAAGGTTATCATTACAGATGCCAAAGAGATTATTATAGAAAACTATAGGCAAAAAGGCAAAGAGGACACAGTAGAACATTGTGTTCAATTTTAACCTATATATATTCTCTTGTGAGTTCTCTCTTGAGTTACAAACTGTCAGGAAAATATTCATGGTTATTCCTAGACTAGCAGACTAGGTTTTAAAATTGGCAAATTGATTTGTCTATAATTTCACCAATCATTATCTTTCATATTGAGCAACTGCACAGGAACATTAGAATACTGTTCAAGATCATTTTATACACAATTTCCTAGAGCTTTTTTTTTTTCTTTTCAACAGATACTTTGGAACTTTGTAGGACTTTGCACTTCAGCAGTGTTAAATTTCTTTCTCAAGGGGTTTAAATCAGTCATCTCTTAGCTGCAGATTTTCCATTAATGTGGAGGGGAAAAAAAAAAAAAGACAGCAGAGAACAATCTTTTCTTGTCTTTGAAGAGCTGCCCTGCCTTTAAATAGAGTGCAAATCTTAACTTGCAGCACAAATGCCATTTCTTTTACCTTTTCCAATTACATAAGCTTAACTCATTTTGACTCCAGACCATTCTTTTATGTCACTACTGTTCCAAGAACAGTTGGGAAAACCCCCACTGTGCATAATAAATCCAGAAACTAGTGAATGTCGTGAAATAAGTTAATACAACACAAAATCATATAAGACTGGGGAAAGACAGGATACTGATTAAATATAAATATAGAAGATCCTATTTGTTCTTTAAAGAATTAACACCCAGGAACAGATTTAATATATACACATATTATCATACAGCAAGCTTTCTGACTTCAGCTAGGAGATTTATATAAAACGTGTATGCATCAGATTGATTTACTAAAATTTCTTTATAGTGATAGATCATCATTTATCTTGCATTGTTTTTTGTTCCTTCTTAGTTCTGCCCTGGGAAATAAAACCCCTTTGTTAGAAATTCTGCTGCTTTACAAATAGCATAAAAATAAAGCTTACTTGGCACAGCAAACCCAGTGAGTGTGTTGGAATAGGGAAAACAAAAGGCGCTGGTGGCGAGGACTCCATATTTTTACTGATTTATCATTGGATGCTGAAAGTAGAAACTGGCCATCATGTGAGAAGCTCACACTACGAACAGGTGCTGTATGACCTTTCAGTACCGATGATTCTCCATGACTGGAGGGGCAGGGAACAAAGCAAACAAGACACAAACCACAATTATATTAAACCGACAGAGTTTAAAACAGCATAAAACTCAAAGCTAACATATTTGGAATCTTATCCAAATTGACAAAGTAATATATACAGGCTAAACCTAAGTGTTGCCAGTATTTTTGTCTTATTTGAATATTAGTTATTAGAATAACAGACTTTAAAGTAACTGCATTTAATACGACCAGCTTTAGAGAACAGTGCAATTAACCAGCAGCATTAGACTCCACATAGCATTTGAAAGGGAATTTATTATCTTTTTTGATATGGTAATCTACAAAACGCTTAAAAGTTAAAGTAACACCAGGCTTTCTAAGATCATTTTGAAGAGCTCATAATCACAACTACTGGAGAACCAGTCTAAAAAAAATTCAATTCAAAATACTTCAAAAAACGCTAGTTTTTGTTCCCTTCATCATTTGTCTTCCCAAATACAGCCATGTAATCCTTATTTAATGAAATATATCCTTTAAGCCATAGAAACACTACCAAGCATAGTCCTATACACATTAAATTGGCTTCTGAACTGCTATGTTTTTCTTTCATAGCTACAGAAAGTACAGTAAAGAACTTTGTTGCTTGTGCTTTCCAATCTCTGTTTCTGTCAAAGCCCAGGGATCTGGGAAGAAAAACTTTCCTTGGGTAAAGACTCCAATATTCACACTGCACATGAAAGAAACACCATAGCCAGTATCGCCCAGTTATACTCACATGCAAGGAATCCACAGCCTGACAGTGCGATCTTGAGAAGCTGAGGCAAGCAGCTGCCCCTCTGGCGAGAACTGTACGCTGGTCACTGCTGCTGCATGGCCTGCAAATTTGTAAGCTTTGCACTTTGTCTTTAGCTTCCATACCACGAGAAACTTATCCAAAGATGAGGTAGCTGGCAAGGAATAAAAGATATTACGGGTCTGCTCACGAGTAGAAAGATCAGAGCTAATTACTATGGATCTGGATTCACCAGTGAACTTACTGGGTATTAGTGGGAGTGAGCAGTTACTGGGTTTTAAGGGATACTTGCTCTGAGGAGAAGCCTGGCAGCCAACAATGCCAATGTCAGGCTTTTGGAAGGACAACATGAGACTGGGAGGAGTAAAGGATAATTCTTAACAGGTAACTCTCCCACATGTTAAGCAAACTGTCTTACAAGTACTTTACAGATACAGAACTAAAAATCCAAAGCCAAATATCATAACTATGTATGAATCCAGATTTGGTGTTACTAAATACAAAGGGACAAATTCTTCAGTGATCTCACTTTGATCTCCAAGACAGAAATTTTTGCTAGCATCAAGTGTTTAACTTCGAAAAGACAGGCCAACTTAAAGCAAAGATGTCATTTTCAGGAAACTATAAGCAACAAAAGCAATGAGCAATTGCATTAAACTAACGAGCGTGACATAGAGACACAAGCAGTGATCTGAAGTTCTCTTTTCCCTGGAATATCCACAAGTGTCTTCCTTGTTCCCGCTCTGGACTCCCTCTTGCCTGTGCTCACACAGCATCCTCTCCCCATCCTTAGGCAGGTTTCTCTCTTGAAGCCACCACGACACTCAGACTGTGGTTATCTCCGATGCTGCCGTTCCGGCCCAGCTGCCACCACCCCAGGGATGACAGAGGGAAGTTGAGACCTGCACTCAGAGGGCAAGTAACCGTATCTGACTCTTTATCTGAACAGCATGGGGGAGGCGTGCACCCAGAGAAAGAAATCCTAAGCAAAAACTCTGGATCTGTATTTAACTTTGGCCCCTATCCCGCCAAGGAAACGAGGTTCCTTTACCAACCAGTCAGAGCCAAGCCAGGCTATTCCCTAGCAGGGAAATAAGCAGGCTGAAATAAGTTTGGGTGCACAAGGCCAACAAGGAAGCACTCTGCTGTAACAGTAAAGATTTTATCTTAGCTAACCGCAGGCACTAAATACAAGAGTCTGTAGGGTAATAATGTTGCCAGCAATAATTCCCATTATCAACGCTAACCTTAAAAAAAAGTTTTAGACAGTAAAAATATACTATGACGATTATCGAATAAATGTGCCTATTTCTCTTTCTACTCCTATTTATTTTTATTCTTACTTATTTTAAGGGATTTTGCCTACTTTCTAACAATGCTTCTCCAATTTACTCAAGGAAAGTATTTTAAGGATTGCTTCTTAATCCTTAATGCATTTTTCTCCGCTCAGGTCCATGTTGTCCATGCAAACAAAAACCATGTTTAGAGGTGAAAGTCAAAATTCATCCTTGCTGTAGTAATGAAAATATTTGATCAACTGCAAAATGCAACTAGAAAGAATAAAGCTGAAAGTTTACATTGAGCTGACCCCAATATGCAACTGAGTCCAGTTTATAACCTCAGTGTCTCTTTTTTTAAAAAAGAGAATAAAATAATCAGAGCTTTATGTACACACCCAGTTATAGCTGACACATTTCTGGATAATTTGCTTTTCTGCTGATGAATCATAACACAACTGAACACTGGAAGACAAAAGACATGCAAAAGCCAAGTTTGCACATCGCTTTGCTGCAATTCTCTAAACAGATATTAGGGCTTCACATACACCATGAAAATTTTTTTGTGGTATTTGCAATGAAATCAAGTTAATTTTTTAAGTTGCAAATCTGGATAGTACACATTTTCATATATTCACATGTATATATAAATATGCGAGTTGCCACAATATGGCATTACCATTGCACTTCCGTTTCCCAGAACGCCACAGGAGCAATTACAATTTGTACAAAAAGATCAGAAAAGACCTACTCAGCCAGGCTTTAACAGCTAGATGTACTCCTTGGTCACCCTTTTTTCTGCCCAAATACTGAAGCACCTCCAATATAATTAACTCATTCAGTACAGGGCTGTGCAGGTGTAAACATTCAAATGCCACCACCACAAAAACCCACATGCTTTTCAGGAGCCTTGCATATCTTAGTGTGATAATGTGCAACGTCACAATATAAACACATTTATATTGTTACTTGCAAGATTTCCTACCTGGAGGAAAGCAATTAATTAAATCTCTGACAAAGGAGCTAATCTGGAATTCTAAGCACAGCAGATAAATTGTGAGGAACTTTTAATAACTCCTCTAAGTTCAAGTTCACAGCAGTTTTTATTTTATACTGTATGCACTTACACAAGTGGAAGAGAAATGAAAGAGTCAGCACGGTAGTCAACATTTAGTTATCATTCTGGATTTTATTCTTTCAAAAGGAACCCCAAAGCCCTCCCACATTTATTCAGTGTTAAGTTTACATTCATTTTCTTTTAAGCGATTTAAAATCAGTAGTTTAAAATATATACAAGTGTTCCCCAAATTTTCAAAGTCTAAAAGAATAGGAAAATCTTTAGGAGCTTCAGATTTTCCAGAAACCAGTACACAGTGAAAAACAACTCGAGTATTTATGTAGAATTGCTGCAACTCAGTTCAAAACCAGTGGAACTTGAAATAACAAGGTTTTTTTTTTTTCCTTCTCTTTCTTTCTCTCACCTCTCTCCCCTCCAACCTTTTTGATCCCATTAGGAAGAATTTTTTTATAAGTTTTTATATTTTAAGGACAAGTTATTTACTTTTTCTTTTCCCCTTTTAGTTTCTACATAACCATAAAAATAGAATAGGAGGTGGTGGGGAGAAGGAAGATGGATTCAGATACATACAGAGAATCACTTTTCAAACTTTAGGAGGCAAATTCACTTAGACTTATTGCTTAAATAGATAAGGAACACTTTGAATGTCAGTTTTAACATGAAGGTAGGGTTGTTGTTTTGTTTTTTTTTAATATGAAATGTAGTTTTTTTCCAAGTGCTAAAAAAGTTAATTGTATAAAAGTTGCATAGTCTATATTCACACCACTTAACTTTCATCTGAGAAAACATGCATTGCACATACAACTTATGCTCTGCCGTGTAGGAGAAGCTAGACCTTTTTCTTGTAATTTCTACTGAATGTAACAGTCTACAGGAAGCTTTTCACAAAAGCACATACTTTATATACAAATTTATGGCCCCAGCGCATAATGACTGGCAGCCTTTTAGAATTTGATAAATGGTTTATAACTTGTAGATCCACAAAAGAATTCCTTGCTGCAGTGTGGAATGGAATTTTTCAGGAATGTCTTCCTTATATAGTAAAAAAGTTCCCTTTTTCAAAAAAAAAAAAAAAATCAACTTAGAAAAAAAAAAGTCAAATTGCAAGTAAACACCTAAAAATAAGTTTAAAGACTTAAAACAACCCATGCCACATAGTGGCAAGCATTTTTAGCATGATTCAACACTAGAGCCACCGCTTCAGATTTTCTTCTATTCCTCTTCTATCTTGGCCTGCTTCCATCCAAACCTCTCAACTTTTCAAAGCCACTAAGATTCAAAAATATGTCTTAATTTACTCTTGTTTTATTTCTGGCAAATCTTCACTTATTTTAGGTCTCACTTGCTCCTTTTTAACCCTGCCATCTACTAATAGCTGCAGCAAATGCACATCTACTATGTTACTCAAGTATCCAGATTTTTATTGCTCACTACCTCAAGTTCCTATCTACCAGCCCCATGTCAATAATTACTACAGTGTGGCTATTGAAAAACATCTATCACTTCAGTGAAAGCAATCAAAAAAGTGGAATGCCTGAAATGTTAAGTGTTCAGCATAAATTACATGAAATTAAAAAACACAGATACTAACGTAAGTACTTTTTTCCAAGCACACAACATATCCATCACATCTATTCCCTATAATCACACCCAAAATAGATTAGTGACATGATTCAAGAATCTATACTCTTCAAAACTCAGCATAACAGGGTACAGAAAACATTCTAAATAAGTTGTCCAAGGCACCACCTAACCAACAAATCTTGGCTTCCTCCAAGTTGCCCCTGGCCTTTTCAGCTCTGCTCACTTCAGGAACTTCAGCTTCCCAACCTTACCTGAGGTATCCTGTGCGTACCATTGTGACTGGAAAGAGGCAGCGTATGCTGTATTATTTCAAAACCCTATCTAGAGCTGATGCATGCCAGCTATTGCCAAAATACATAACGCAAAATAAACCAGCTCAAGTTTTCCTCTGCAACGCCTTCCTCCTGTCCTTCTGTGACGTGGTCTAGTCACACAAGCTAGGCGTCTTTAGGATGCCAGGCTTAACATAGAAAAAAGCTTACAGAGATGTACAATAAATATTAAACATATAGCTAAGAAACAGCCGTAACTAGCGCAGTTCTGTGGTTTCTTTCCTTCTCTATTACCTTTAAATAGAATTTTTACTTGTAGCCATCCCTATTTCTATTTCTTCCCATTTGTGGTACTGCCAGCATGTCCTTGGTTCCACTGCTACCACACTCTTCCCTAAATGCATGAGAATTCCTGACTCACTGTCACGAGGCAAGTATTCCAGAATAGACGCAAGACTGCAAAGCGGTGCCAAAGCCTATCTACCAAATAACCTTCATTTCTTCAATGCAATGCAGCTAGTCATCACCCTGAAACCCTTAAGAGTATGTAAATTCCCAGAAAACTGCAGAATATTACAAGCCTTAAGACTGAGCTTTCCACATCAATGCCTTTTCAATCACACGCTACTGTAGCATTACTTAGGGTGTTAGATACATATTTTATAATGTATCTGCAACATAGGTCAACTAATTTCACTGCAAGAACCTTAACTTTTACTTCTGTAAGTAAAGACTCTTTACTTTCATGTAACATTAAAAAAAAATTATACACACTAAACCTGCAAGATAAAGAAAAATAAATCCCTCCTCAGTCCACTTAAAAGCCTTTGTTTTACCATAATCAAGACAGATCAAAGTAAGAAAATAATGGATCAAAATTTTACAAAAATAAAAGGTATTAGATCTGTATTCAAAGTTTTAGAAACTAAACCCCAGTATTTACTTTTGCTCCCCATACGGTTCACCACAGCAGATATGGCTACTACACCACTGCAGACACATCTGAAGATATTCCAAGGTATAAAAACACCACTATCTGCTCATGCCTGTAAAAACCTTAGAGATCACAGTTCATTCGATTTGTACTACCAGCAGTGATTATTTCTCAAATTTCCAAATCTGATTTTTATCTGCACCATTACAAGTTCTCATTTCCACATGAGCGTGCCCCTCAGTGGAACGATATGCAGTAAGGCACTTTCCTGAATGAGGATGATAAATAGTCCCATCTTCTTTGAAATGCCATATAATAATTTCCGGGACAGGAGATCCATCTTTTGGGCAGTTTCTCATACCTACGTAGTTTTCATGCTCAGGTACTTCAGCACATAGCTCAGTTACAGAATTAAATCTAATCTCCTTTTTTGATGTATATTCAAAAAACTGATTGCCTCCCTGACCATGACATCCAAAGAGAGAAACGTGAGCCCCGGTAGGATTATGTTCCGGTAAGACGTAGTCGAGGCATTCTGAAGCTATTCCTGCACTGCGGATAGCACCGTGCCAGCCAGGACGATCTTCTGGTACATGCAACTCGGAAAATATGTTTTTTAAATACCAATTAAAACTCTTGCACTTCAAACGCTCTCTTAGGATCTTTCTCTCAGAAATGTCTCCATAGTTTTCCTTCCTTGCTGAAGGGTTTCTGTTGTAAAAGTGCTCTTTGTACTCATCCATCCACACCTCAGCAGCACGTGCTGTGTTCTGAAGGAAATTTGGTCTAGCATAGGGCGCACGCTTTGGAAACACATGGCCTACATGGGAGCATGGATGAATTTCCAGCGTGCCTCCACACTGCCAAACTCTAAATGATAATTCTAAGTTCTCCCCTCCCCAAACATCCATTCCTGTATCGTAGGTACCCAGGTACTCAAAATACTTCTTGCTGACAGCAAACAAGCCACCAGCCATAGTTGGCGATCTGATTGGGTCGGTTTCAGATTTGCGCCTGAGACGTTCATGTTTAGGCACTGAGTGCCACTGGAATGTCAGCCGCCAGTCAAACCCCCCAATCATGGGCTCTGACGTTTGCATGTAGTATTCAAATGTTTTCCAGTCAATGGTGTCAATGACAGGACAGATAATAACAGTCTCATTCTCCGCAATCCTCTCGAGCAGTGGTTCCAGCCAACCAGAGACACATTCGCAGTGACAGTCCAGAAACGTGAGGACATCACCGGTAGCAAAGGTAGCGCCAATTAAGCGTGCACGAACCAATCCTTCCCGTTTGTTGGTTCTTATCAAACGAACTCTTTTCAGACGGCTTATGTATTTTTCGAGTTCAGCCTTCAAATAAACTTTATCACTCAAGTCATCCACCAGTATAATTTCTTTTAGAAGCACTGATGGTGACGTTTCAAGAACACTATGTACTGTTCGCAGCAACGTTGACCAGGCTTCATTGTAAAAAGCGATTATAACAGATGTCGTGGGCAGCCTTCGGTAGTCGTAAGATTTCGTTTTACAGCCACTCAGTCGATTATCTTCAATGTGCCGGTGGAGAGAGATTTTGTCACTCAAAAAAATATTAATTGCATACTTCTCAATAAGCTCTTCTTCCTGTTTCTTCTCCTCAGGACTCAGCTGCAGATGAGAGAGCTTACCCCATTCTCCTGGGGCATAAGGAT